CCTCCTCCTTGCCAGAGCCATTCCTGGAGGACAGAAGCGTGTCTGAGTTGTGCCCCTGGGCGCCCCTGGGCTCCCCTGGGGGCTGCCACCTCTACGCTTCTCATCCAAACTTCTGCAAAGGCTCATCCGTGGTGAGGAGGGGCGTTGGGGGGCTCCGGCTGCTCCCTTCGGCCAGCTCAGCACTGAGCACGGCCTTGACCCCTCTGGGTCTCCTTGGTCCCCTGAGCTTCACTGGGCTTCATTCCCTGCATGCTGAGATTGAGGCCCCCCAACACCAGGGCTCCGTGCTCCCTTACTTTCCTTCCCCTGGATGATGGCCAGAGCCTCCAGCCAGCCTGTCTCCTGTGCTGTCAGCTGTGGCCTCTTCCAGACCTTCAGAGGGGTCAGCCTCAGGCTACTGGTGTCAGGGTGACCAGCAGTCCCTCAGGTCACTGTCTCAGGGTGACCTCGGCCCCTGGTGTTGCAGGGCAGTGCTTGGCTGAACATGTCCAGAGCAGGGTCTATGCATAGAAGCAGCCGGCCTCCTGGCCCCCACTCTCCACGGGGCTGCTGGCGTGACGGAGCCCAAGCTGTCTCCCGGCCCGGGGCTGCCTGCACGGTCAGCTGGTCAGCTGGGCCAGGCCAGGCGGGCAGAGAGAAGACTGGCATGCTCTGCCATCCACAGCACCCCTCCCAGTCCCCAGCCCCACCCCCAGGACTTCCCTCGGACAGGCGTAGGCGGCTGTGTCAGAGAAGGTGGCACTGGGGCAGGAGGGAGACAGAGCCCCACACCTACCCCAGAACCAAGGGCCGTTCCTCATGGACCCTGGGTGTGCTCCACCTGACACTGGGCCTGGCCATCCGCCCAGTGCACAGAGAGGGACTCCTCAGCCAGGCCACGGCCACGGAGATGCTGCTGGACTCTCTTCTCTGCCCCATTTGAGGAGGGACACCCAGAAGCCCCATGGGGTCTTCCCTTCTTCCCCAGGGCACCCATGACCCTAACCGGAGCTGGAGACAGCCCCGGAGCCCACTGCTGAGCCTGCAGGGAGTCCCAGGTCCCAGGGAGCCACGTGAGTCGGGGCTCCCTGAGCCTCTTCAGAGCCTCAGAGCCAGCCCAGAACAGCACACTCCCCTCTGGCTGAAGACGCCCAGGCCCACCCGTCACATGCGCAGGGTTTAGGACGTCTCCCCTGAGCGAAGGCAGGAGATCTCCGGAGAGGTCGTGTCCGGCTCTACCCCAGCCATGCCTGTGTGTGTGTCTGGGAAGGAGTAGGCCGGTCAGGTCAATCTCCCCTAGGACCTAGCTGAGCAGTGGGACTGCAGACCTCTATGCTCTGGCAGCTCAGGGAGGGACTTGGAACTTGGTGCAGCGAGGGAGGTGGGGCCGGGAACTGCCCTGGCCAGAGGACATTGGGGGAAGGGCTTCGTGGTGTGGCCGGGGGTCCAGGGCCCTCCCTGGACCTGCTTCTCACCTGCACGCCCCAGGTCCTCTCAGGAGGAGACTCCCGTGGAGAGGGGGTCTTTCAAACGGCCAGGAAGTGCATAGTCTGGTGGCGCAGCCCAGAGGCACCTCCCAGGGGAGTGGGGAATAGGGACAGGAGGGGTTCTGCACCCAGAAAAGGAGGAGGATGCCTGGAAATCAGCCCAGGTGGAGGCCGACAGCCGCAGGGCGGGGTGCGAGGGCCGGGCCTTGCAGCCTCCTGTTTGGAGGAAAAGAGAGCGGAGGGCAGGGCTCGCCCAGGGAGGGCGCGGAAGGGAGCCCGGCTCCGCCGCCCCGCGCCAAGCGCTGCCCTCCCCGGCCAGCTCCGGCCGAGGCCCCCCGTCCCGGGCTCAGCCCCCGGGGCCTTGGCTCGGGTGGGCCGGCGGCTGTCAGGGGCCAGAGCCCTGACGGATGAGCGCTGACGGCCCCTCTCCTGCGCCCCGCGCGCTGACACCCATCACGCCGGGCGGGGACCCCGGAGACCTGGCGGCCTCCGCGCACCCCCGCGGCAGCCTGTGGGCGACGGGGACGGGAGGCGCGGGGCGCCCCTCACTCGGCCGCACACCTGCGCCGCAGTCCGCTCGCCGGGCGCTGCCTCCCGGGGTCCCGCCGCCCCACCGCGCGCGCCGCCCCGAGAGCTGAGCGGGTCCCGGCGCACGATGCAGGTGAGTGGGCGCGGGGGGCGGCGGGGCGGAGGGACGGGGGGCTCGGGCCGGGGCCGGGGGCTGCTCGCCCCTCCCGCCGCGAGCGCGGTCGGAGGTCGCAGCGCCCCCCGGAGCCCGGCGCCCAGGCGCACGCGCGCCCGCCTCTGCCGCCAACTTCAGCGGGTGCGAGCGGCGTCGGGGGTTCGCGGGCGGCGGCGGAGGCTGCGGGCGTCGCTGCTGCGAGAGTGAGCGCCGGCCCGAGGGGTCCGGCTCCGGGCGCCCGGCCTCAGTGTCCCCCCCGGGAGCCGCATCCTACCTCGAGAGCCCGAGCGCGTCCCGGGGGTCCGAGTCGTCGCCGGCGCGGGGCGGGGAGGGCGGGAAGTTTGCGCCCCACGCGCGGCCTCGCAGACTTGGCGGCTCCGCGGGCTCCGCTCCCGGCCGGGCGCAGGTAGGGGCTTCGGGGGCGGCGGGTGGCCCGGAGTGTGGGGGCGCGAGGGGCGGCTGGACCCTGCACCCCACTTCTCGGCGTCCAGGAGCTGCGCGAGGGGAGGGAGGTCCGCTCTCAGGGGCTGGGCGGGAAGGGCAGGGGCCAGGTCTGGGGTCTCAGACGGGAGCCTGCCCTGGCGCTCTCCTCACCCGCCTGTGTGGGGCTCCCCGCTTCCTGGGGGAGGGGGGCGGCAGGGTCTGAGGGTGGCTGGTCAAGGGTCCCCGGCTGCTGGGCGCCTCCTCCTGACCCAGGGTGGGGCCTTGTGCCCCTCATGCCACCAGTTCTCTGCCAGACAGGGAAAGGTGAGTGGGGCCGGGTATCTGGGCCGGGCAGAGGGGTGCAGGGTGCCCGGGGAGCCACTGCTGGGTCTGGCTGGGACATGCGTGTGAGTGCCTGTGCCTTTGTGTGCGTCCGTGTGCCTGCTCTCCGGGGATGTCTTTTGCTCTGTGTACACACACCAGCTGAGTGCCAGGCATCCTCCGGGTTCCCATGGGGTGGGCAGCTGCTGAGACAGCCCCTCGGAGAAGCCCCGGACCCAGGAGCTCTGGGTTTCTGCTGGGAGGCAGGATGGGTTGTGGCACCAGTCGGCACAGCTGTGTGGCTCGCAGGGCTGGGTGATCGATGGCCCCGCACAGCCGCCTCTGTCGCCGGAGCACCCACACCCATTTGTCATCAACATGGGGTTGGGGGGCGGCAGGCAGGGAGAAGGGGCTGCCTCTGCACCCATCACCCAGTCCAGGTCGCGTGTGCAGCCCCTCAGGGAGCCCCAGGCCCTCTCCTGGCCCAGCTCTTGCCTCCCGACCCCCACCCTGTCTCAGCCACAAACCAGCCAGTCGGCCTCTGCCTGCCCACGCAGCCTGTGACCCCCTGCAGGGCCCCAAGCCTTTGGAGGAGCGGCCCTCTCCTGCCGCTGGTGGTCCCCCCAGCGGTGCCCACCTGGGGTTCTAGGAGCAGCAGACGGCACTGCCCCAGCCCTACCGGCTCAGCTCACCGACCACGTGTGACCAGCCATGTCTGCATGTGTCCTGGGTGGTGTGTGGTGCCCGTGTGCACTCGTGAGTGCCATGTACGAGTGGGTCGGAGAGCTGCCCACACCCTGGGTGTGCTGTGTGTTGTCACAGATGAGCAACCATGTCCGCCGTGACAGGGTGCGAGGCGTGTGTGCGGCCAGGGTCCTTTCCCTTGGTGGCAACCTCTGTTCTGAGCTGGCTAGGTGGCACAGAGGTGGCTCCACTGGGCACTGGGTGAGGGCTCTGCGTGAGCCTGTGCGCGGTGCACACACGCTCAAAGCCCGTGTGCGCAGGCGTGCCGTGTACCCCACACAGGCAGTGCCGGGGCGGTGGGCAGCCCAGGTGGCAGCCCAGATGGAGTGTGGAGTGCATACCAGTGCCGTGCGGGGCGTGGGGAGGAGCGGGTCTTGGCTGAGTGTGGCCGCTGCAGGCTCGGCCACTGACCTGCCTGAAGCCACCCAGATGGAGCTGAGCTGAGCAGGTGGCTGAGCCACGGGGCCATGCTAGGACGTCCACTCCCCACAGCCTGGCCTGGCCCCACGTGAGGCTGACCCCCTCAGAGACCCCCAGTGTCCACCTGACACCCTGCTGGAACAGGCTCTGCACGCTCGGGTGCACACACACACATGCACATGCACACGCACACATGCACACGCACACACACGTGCACACACACGTACACGTACACACACACGTGCATGCACACACACGCACGTGCACACACGGGCACACACACACGCACACGTGCACGCACACACGTGTACACACACACACATGCACACACGCGCCTGCAGCGTCATCCCATGCAGGCCCTCGTGTTGGTGTCTCGTCTTGGTGCCTTTCCGTCGTTTTTGAACAGGGGCGAGCAGGGGTTGCGAGAGGGCCTGAAACCACGAGGCTGACGCCTCCCCAGAGTGAGACCTGGCCACGCCGACCCTTTTAGCCACTCACGTGCTGTGGGGAGATGGGTGTGGGCTGAATTATCCTAGAAATCGCCAGCGAGCCGGCCTGGCCTCGGAGGTGGGGACCTGTGTCGGGTCAGCCCATAAATAAGGGACACCTAGTTAAAATCAAATTTCAGATAAACAAGGAACGCGTTTCCGGTGTGCGTTTCCGATCCTGCCCAGGCTGCACTAACTCTCAGAAGTGTCGTGCTGCTGCCAGTCTCAGTCAGAAGCTGCTGAGTGTCCTGGACTTGTTTTTTTTTTTTTTTTTTTTTCCTTTATTTTGCTGCACTGACCACCCTGGAAGTGTGCATGGGGAGGAGCCAAAGGAGGGGGCCGGGGCGGCGCAGGGGGGAGGCAGGGGCACTCTGGGCTCCCGTCCCCGAGGCTCGCGAGCCCCGAATGGAGAGCAGTGGGGAGTGGGCTGGGCGCTGACTGTGGCCCCATCTGCAGGTGGCCGTGGTGCTCGGGCCTGCCCCATAGCAGGCTGCCATGTCTCGGGAGGCAGGCTCGTGCCGCGTGGGCACAGGGGCGAGGGCGCGGTCTCGGAAGCCGAAGAAGCCACACTACATCCCGCGGCCCTGGGGCAAACCCTACAACTACAAATGCTTCCAGTGCCCCTTCACCTGCCTGGAGAAGTCGCACCTCTACAACCACATGAAGTACAGCCTCTGCAAAGACTCCCTCTCCCTGCTGCTGGACTCCCCAGACTGGGCGTGCCGCCGCCGCCCCACCACGCCCAGGCCCCGCGCACCCACCCCAGACCGCCCTGGGGAGTCCGACCCCGGCAGGCTGCCCCGGGGAGCGCGGCCCCCAGATGCTGCTCGCACGCCTGACCACATCATGGAGGCTGTTGCCCACCCCCTGCACCGTGGCAGGGGCCCCAAGCCCAGGGCCGAGGGGTCCCCAGGGCCACCACACCCTGGGGCTAGGGTCACCCGGAAAGGTTCCAGCCCTGGTGGGCTCCTGCCTGAGTCGTGGAAGCCAGGGATGGGAGGGGGCCCAAGGGGTGTGGCTGTGGGGGACATGGCCTCAGCAGGCCCTGAAGGCAGCGTCCCCTGCTACCCCCCACCTGCTCCAGGGGAGTTCCCGGAGGCCCACAGCCTCCACCTGTCCCTGCTGGGTGTCAACTACCCGCTCAGCCCGGGCCTCTTCTCCTACCTGGGGCCCTCACTGGCCGCTGCGGCCCACGTGCCCTTCCTGGCCTCAGCCAGCCCCCTGCAGCCCCCGGCTGCGGCATTCCCAGCCCCGCAGCCCCCTCAGCGCCCCACCCCGGTCCCCCGCCTATACTACCCGCTGCTCCTGGAGCACACTCTGGGGCTGCCCACAGGCAAAGCCGCCCTGGCCAAGGCCCCTGTCTCTCCGAAGGGTCCCCCTGGGGCTCTGGCTCCTGGCCTGCTGAAGGCACCGGTTCCAGGGCTGGGGCCGTGGCCCCAAGTCACCCCCAGGGACTCAGGGCAGGAGGGGGAGCTGGAGCGGGTGGCCCAGAGTGACCCCAGGAGGAGGCTGTCCCTGGGCAGCAGGCTGGAGCTCCCGAAGGCACCCCCCGGCCTCACAAAGTTCTGTTCCCGGAGCAGGTAGGTGTCTTGGGTGCCCAGCTCCTGGGGTGGATGGGCCGGGGGGCTGGGCATGGTGGCTGTGGTCTGTCCTGAGCTCAGCCACTGGGAAAGTGGGCTCCAGGCCACAGAGGACAACTGAGACCCAAGAGCCAGTGCGGGGGTCCTTGGGGTCTCCGGGAGAGCCCAGGCTCTAGGCAGGGGCCATGGGGCAGAGGCCATGAGGGGGATGGGGCAGGGCTGGGGGCACTTTTGGGGCAGTGTGGCCTCACGACCGGCTCCCACACTCCCAGCCTGCCCACTGGCTCCTCTGCGATGATGTGGCCTGAGGACGGGGAGCCGGGCGGCCCCGAGGGCCCCTTCCTGCCGCAGCCTCGGGGCCCAGCGCCGGGAAGCCCAGGGCGCGTGGGTGAGGACCTGACCCGGGCCCTCAGCGACTATGCCAGTTTAGAGCGACGCCTGGGGCAGCTGGTGCCCGCTGGGGGGCTAGTCGCGAGTCCCCTGCGGGAGCAGCTGGGCAAGATCCGCCTGGAGCTGCTCACCATTCACCGGGCGCTGGAGCGGGCCTCGAAGCCGCCCGACACGCCCCTGGACCTGTCTGTGAAACGCGCACCTGCCAAGGGGCCCGAGGCTCTTGGAGAGGCCTGGGGGCAGCCGGAGCTGGGTCCCATGTTGGCTCGAGGGACCCCCGAGCCACCCCGCATGCTGGGCCCGGCTGCACCTGAACCCTTCTCTGGCCACACCACCAAGTGTGAAGCCGACTCCAGCGTCCCCCCGCCTGGCCTCCCCCTCCCGGCCCCGGATGACCCCGTCCTTCCTGGCAGTGGCTGGGGCACCTGTGTCGGGACGGGGAGCTCCCACACCCCCGAGGCTGTCTGCGGCCTGCAGAGCCCCCCGGGCGCCGCGGTCTGACTGTCTCCGCCCGCAGCGTGTCCGACCCTCACCTGGTCCAGCCCCGTGGCCAAGGCCTGAGACCCGTCCCCTCTCAGCATGCATGTGGATAGACCCCCGCGGGCCGTGGCCAAAGCTTGTCCCTGGGGCCACACAGGGACGGGGAGGTGACGGTTATTAATCACAACTGTGGACATTAAAACAGAAACTGTCTTCACACACACCGCCTGCGCTTCGTTCCTTTGGGGCCCTGATGTAGGCACCTGGACACCCGCCTGAGGAAATGTCCTGGCCTGGGAGTCCTGGGTGCGCTTCTGTCCTCAGGCCCGGCCCCCTCCTGTGGGGGTTGGAGTCTGGGGGTGGGAGGGGACGTCGGCGTGGGGAGCTGAGCGAGGAGAGGCGTGTGGTCTGGGCTGATCTGGCCTGCGTTCCGGTGCGCTGGGGGTGGGCACAGACCCCCGAATCCAGCAAGGCAGCACTAACATCAGCTCTCCTGCGGTTAAACGGTAGCCCCGAGGCTCCGTGGCTGGAGGCTGCTCACCCAGCGTGGGCTCTGCTGGCCTCTGCCAGACCCTGCAGCCACGATAGGCATCAGCCTTCACAGCTCACTGCCTCCCTCCCGGCATGGCCTGGCTCAGCCCTCCCACGGGCAGGGGATGGGCAGGCAGGGAGGGGCACCCGGGACCCCCACAGCAAATCACTTCCCTCCTGGGGGAGCTGGCCACGCCCTTAACACCCACCCTGGAAGGGGCCTTGTAGCCCACGTTGCCCCTGAGGAGGAGAAGCAGTTCCTGCCTGTGCCCGGCTCCCTGAGCTGAGCTGGGCTGGACCGGCTGGGCTGGGGCAGTACAAGCAGGCTGGCAGCGGCCCCATTAACTACCACGGAGATAGCATCAGCCCGGATCCTGCCTCGGGGCAGCCAGAGCTGGGGAGTTGCTTGGCCAGGGAGATAGCATCGGCACCCCCAACCCACTGCCTCGGGGCGGCCAGAGCTGGGGTGCTGGCTGGTCAGGCTCGGAGTGCAGCGGTGGTGGAGGGGACAGGTCCTGGCTGGGTTCTTCTACCCAGAGGTTTCTTGGAGGGGCTGCAGGGGGCCCCAGGCAGTCAGGAAGTGTCCCCAAGTCCCGAGTCTGAGGGAGACTCCCCGTCCTCAGCCCCTGCACCTCCATGTGTCCACTGCACCCCAGTTCCTCACCCCCCCAGGCAGACAGGTAAGCATGACCTTGCTGGGGGCAACAGCACCTGTCTCACAGGTGTGGAGACAGAACCTCCTTCCCTGTCACCTGTGGGGAGCAGGACAGGCCTTGCAGAGGGCACCTCAGCCAGCGGGTCACCCACCCGTGGTTCAGACGCAAGGACTCTGCTCGGGGGTGGTGGCCTGGGGCTACCTTGCCAATTGGAGTAATGAACTTGCTGTCTGTGGGGGGCCATGAGGGACCCCCTGAAGCGGGGTGCGCTGCGTGGCATCCGGCTGTGCAGGGAAGTGGGAACAGCACCGAGGCAGCACCGGGAGTCTTTGGGGAACTTGGTTTTTATTTCACAGAAGCTTCCGGGGCTGAGGCCCAAGACCGTTCTCTCCCTTCTCCACCCGGCCCAGCTGCGTCCCTGCCACTGGCTCCTCCCCCTTCCTTGGGACCTAGTTTCCAACAACAGAGACTGCAGCCACCCCGCCTCAGAAAGCGCCCAGCACGAGGGGCCCCAAGTAGAAGCGTCCCCGCCTGGCCTCTCTCGGCGGGGCAGGTGGACGCCCTCGGAACAGGCTCCCTCACCCCTCAGTCTTCCTGACCAAGAGACTCAGGTAGAAGGGCTAAGTGTGGGTGACCCCCAAGCAGAAAGGGGCTTCACAGGCAGATGGATCTGAGAAACGCAGCTTGTCTGTCCCCACAAGGCTGTGATGCCCGTGAGCTCATTTGGGGCCCAGAGCAAAACCCACAGTGAGCTCCATGGACGGCGCCTCCCAGACTCAAGTTCCAGGCACAGAGATGCTGGGGTGGCCAGGAGATGCTGGGCTTGGGGCCAGGCCGACCCTCAGGGCCTGGAGGATCCGGCCCAACGGGAGGGCCCCGGGCCCGCCTGGAGGGTGCCAGGAGGAGCGACTTCTCCATTCCTGCACACAGTGGGGCCTTATTCTCTCTCTCGTGGCCCCAAACTTTGCCCAGTTGCAGAGAAGCGGACACGGTGACAGGCCTGCCCGGACTCCGGCCTCCCGGCGTCCACATCTCACACTGGACCCGCCTGGAGCCCCCACTGGCTCCTGGAAGCCCCAGCTGCTTGGGCGGATCCGGGTGCCCACAGGGGCTGCAGGATGGCCGGCCTGCTCTTTGTCACGGCCAGGGCTGCGCCCTGTGTCCACGTGCTGGATCTGCCTCCTGCCCTGCCGTGCTCCAAGGGCCCGGGCCTTTGTTCCAGAGGATGTGGCTGTGACTGCATCAGGGCTCGTGGTGGTCAGCGACCCGTCCATGGGGCTGTCTGTGCACTCCAGCACACAGCCCAGGACCTGGGGGGCACCTTCCCGTCTCCCCGGGGGCTGGTTGTGGACGCCCTCAGTCGCCTCCTGGTGACAGACTACGTGCCTGGGCTGTGCACAGCTTCATGTCGGGCCCTGCTTGGGAGCCCCTGGTCCCGGCTTCCAGGCTGGGTCTGGAGGGCCTGTGCTGGGTGGGCCCGGGGCCTGACGGGGGCTTTGCTGTGTGTGAAGTTTCAGGATGTGCGGCTGTTTGACAGTGCCCACCAGCCACTGGGCTCCCTTGGGGGCTGGACAGGGCACACTTTTGGCTGCCCAGCGGGCATCTGCTCCAACTCAGAGGGTAACATTATTGTGGCAGATGAGCAGAGGCGCCAGGTGACCCTGTTTCCCCGATCTGGGCCACCCATCCGCCTGGTGTCACAGCGGCTTGGGCAGCCCTTGGGAGTGGCCTGTGCACCCCAGGGCCAGCTCCTGGTGGCCAATGCCAAGGACAACTCCATCAAGGTGTACCAGGGCCTCAAGGAGCTGGCCTGACCTGCGGCTGGGCTGGGGCAGCCCTCATGTGCCTGGGGCTAGCTCCAAGGCCCTTGGATCACCATGGGAGGAACCCTCAGTGTGGGTGGAGCCTGCAGGCTGTGGGCCTTGCCTGCCTGATGCCAGCACTGCCTGGGCTGGGCCCAGTCCTCCTGCTGGTGAAGCTCCTGAGTCAGCGCCTCCCAGGCTGCCCTTGGCAGGCCTGTAGCCTCCCCAGCCGGGGCCACTCTCTGCTGTCCCCATTGAGTGCCCTGGCCCCTGCATGTACGCGCCCCATGTCCACTCAGGCCCCGTGCATGAACTTTGCAGCTGGCAGCTGAAGCCTTGAGACCCTTGGCATGTCGGGCCAGCTGCTGGCACATGGCTAGGCAGGCTGTCTCCAGGTGCCCCCGCCCAGGCCTCCTAATCAGAGGCAGACAGGCAGGGAGGGTGCAGCTGGGCTGGGCTGGGCGACCTGGGCAGGGGTGTAGCGCTAAGTGTCCCCAGTTAGAGGCACCTACAGTCCTGAGCCTCCAGTAGCTTCTCTGGGCCTGGCAGAGGTAAGGGGGAGGCAGCCCTGGAGGTGTCTGGAGGCCCATGAATGGTTGAAGTCTGGGTGCCTTTTCTTCCACGTCCCGGTGAATGAAGGCTGTCTGGGCCTTCATTCTGCAAAGGGGACAAACAGCTCCGCACTCGAGGTGCAGGCGTGCTGGGAGGGCCTGGGGGAGCCTTCCTCTAAGGACAGACTCCTGCTGCTTTAGAAAACTGAGAAAAGACCAGGCGTGGTGGCTCACGCTTGTAATCCCAGCGCTTCAGAAGGCCGAGGTGGACGGATCACAAGGTCAGGAGATGGAGACCATCCCGGCTAACACAGTGAAACTTGTCTCTACTAAAAACACAAAAAATTAGCCGGCTGTAGTGGCACGTGCCTGTAATCCCAGCTACTCGGGAGGCTGAGGCAGGAGAACTGCTTGAACCCGGGAGGCAGGCGTTGCCGTGAGCCGAGATTGTGCCACCGTACTCCAGCCTGGGCGACAGAGCAAGACTCCGTCTGGGAGGTGGGGTGGGGGGAAACTGAGAAAAAACAGGGATCTAACCCTCTGCTTACATTTTACAACTGAGGAAACAAGGTGTGAAAGGAGAGGCCTCTGGGTTACTCTGTGGGTCTGGGGTCCAGGGAGGGGCTGGCATGGGGCAGGGAGCTGGGAGGGGACAGTGTCTGGCCCTGCCTTGGGGGGTGGGGAGGTGGGGCTCCCCCGTGTCACAGGACGGCACCCCTGAGAGGTCCCTCACCCATGAGGGCCCTGTGGGTGCGGGGTTAACTGGGGACCGCAGTAGGTGCTCACTAAACCGGAGCTGCTGCTGCGGTCTGGGGGCGTCGCGGTCTGGGGGGGGTCCCATTCCTCGCCTGCGGAGGCGGGGTGCTCCCGCCTGACGATCGCTGGCTGCAGCCTCCGGGCCAGTCCCACCGGGGCTCAAACTTCCCGGCACCGCCGGCCTTCGGGATTTGGGGGCGGCCCCTCTGCAGACTGCGGGGGCGCTGGGCCCGGCGGGGGGCCTGTTCACCCGCGAGGCTGGGAGCAAGGCGGGGTCCGGGTTCCCCGAAGGCCAGGTCGTCGGCTTCTCTGGCCCGAGGAAGCCGAGCTGAGGGGTCCGGGGCAGGCTGTGGGGGTCCGGGACAGGCT